TTTAATATGCATTGTTCAGAGGCAAGATGAAAAGAAAATACCACGTTAACTTTTCTAAAGACAGTAAGTTTCCCTCTGAGATACATTCATATAAACTCCTACTCCAACTGTATCGCGATTTGTTTAGCATCTCAACCGATTTGAATCGTCACATATTTGAATCGATTTTCGACTGGCTCGCGGTTAATCGTTACATCCCTACAATCATAGCAAGTTGATTCATTTTAAGTACTTAACTACAGAAATTGTTACTTTTGAAAAATGAATTAGCTGCAATACTAGTAACAAAAACTAGCTAAATATATTAGCTTTTTTTCATTATAAATTTTAATTCATTATATGAATTAATTGAAAAACAAAATTTTCATATTTTAAAATTATATAAATAAATAAATAAATAAATAAAATTAAAACATATTTAAAAAGTGTAATTATTAAAATATAGTGGCTTATTTTTGTATTTGTTATTTTTGCTAGTTCAAATTTATGCTCTTTTTTTTGCTTTTTCATCTTTCAGTAATATTGATAGATATATCTGTTCCACTATCCATAGGAAGCACTGCTTTGTTTTGTTTTTTACATGTGAAAGAAAAACATTAATTTGTATGAAAATACAGAGCAGGACATGTCCCAAACAAGTCAATATAATTATTATTATTTATATATTTTTTTAGCATTATTAATTGTACTTAAATGTACTTATTTATCATTATTGCAACAAACAGATATTTTCTTTTCAGAATTTATCTTTACATAATTTATCAGATTATATCATTTGTCTTTACAAAATCTGAGGAGTATTCATCTGGCAAAAACACAATGAGGGTGATTTTGAAACTAAATATTGTCAACTGAATACCACATTTCATTAAATATAACAAAAAAAGTCCTAAATTCAATAGCTGAATTGTAAACATACTTATAAACTGCAGTTTAGACTAAAGGTTTATTTTACCACACAGGGACCTCTGGGAAACACTCTTAAGTGATGACTCAAATTAATTAAATAAACTGATTCGATTACTTGAGAGAGAAATTAAATAATAAATTAGCTATTAAATGTAGTTATTGGAAAAAATATAATCTTCTGCCGCATTAGTTAAGTTAGTAGCAGCACTAATTTCAACTACAACAAACACTCCGAATGACCTGAACATGACCCATCCCACACGTTCAACAGAATTTCCACGGAATTCTAGTAAATAACTGGAATAATCCAGCCGTCAGACCTTGTATCTGTCCACTTCCTTCTGCAGTTTGACAGACATGCTGCTGTGCTCCTCCAGCTTCCTCAGACGGTCGTGCCACGCGAACAGAAACTCCTCGAACATGTGAGTCTTACTCCTGCAGGGAAAACACAGTGTGTCTCAGTCCTGAATGAATGCTGAATGTGTTTCAGACACAAAGACTCTGAATGCCCCCGAACATTTGTAGAAATTCCTCCTGACGCGTCTGATGTTTCTGACCGCATGTGATTGTGATTGTATTTATTCCCAAATTCAGCTTTGTTTTTTTCCCACATTTTGTTTAGCGCTTTTATTTTTCTGGATTCCGTTTTTTCGGTTTACATTTTCTGAGTTCTGTTTTAACAGTTCAATTAAATTTTAGTAATCAAGCATGTCTAAATTAATTGAAAACTCGTAAAACTCATACAATTTAACAACAATTTATTAAAGGTTTAACAAATTACACTTTTAGGTTCCTATGATATTAGTTTTAGTTTTTTTCCAAATTCAGTTTTGTTTTTCCGAAATTCTGTTATCCATTTAAATTTTTCTTTAATCAAAAAGCATGTCTAATCAATTGAATTCATGCAACTTTAATAATTTAATAATTTATTGCAATTTTTACAATAATAGAACCCTATTAATTGATTTTTTTTTTCCAGAAATTCTGTGTTGTCCTTTTTTAATTTTTCTGGATTTATGATTTAATACAAATGTATTATCAAAAACAGTGGTAATCAAAGCATGTCTAATCAACTGAATTCATGCAACTTTAACAATTTAATAATTTATTGCAATTTTTACAATAATAGGACCCTATGAATTGATTTTAAAAAAAATTTTCAGAAATTCTGTGTTGTCCTTTTTAAATTTTTCTGGATTTATGATTTAATACAAATGTATTATCAAAAACAGTGGTAATCAAATAAAGACATAAACCATTAACAATTTTATGAATGTTTTACAATGTAATCAAATGAGATTTTTTTGGCAAACGAAGTGCCACACATTACAGGTTTACAATTAAAATTAAAACATGGAAGAAAATTTGTATGATATTCCTTATAATCATCATCATGTATTTTCTTTATTTGTTTTATTATTATAAATATTAAATTTTTATTATTAAATTTTGTTTTAATAATTATTTTATTATTCATTTAATAACACTTTTATTATTATTACTTTGAGAGGTACATTCTACTGTACAATAGTAAAACACTGTCTTTCTGTCACAATTTCTTCACATTAAAATTATTTTGACGGGTCACAGTGAAGACCTTTGGGTTTCTGTGTATCTGACAATAGTTTCATCAAATGAAATGTTATCAATGTGATTGCTATGACTGTGACCTGAAGGAAATCCAGTCCTGCTCTGCGTGTTCATCCAGTCCCTGCTGAAACTCCTCGTAAAGCTCCCACATCTCTGAACACTCCTGCAGATCCCGCAGCGTGTCGGTCGCCAGAGACACGTCAGGAGTGCTCAGGTTAAAGTGTTCGCAGTCCTCCCTATGACACACAAACACACACACATTTACTATGGTAATACCACAGGCGTTTCTCTGCATGCGAGTACAGGAGTCAAGTCACGCACATGAGTTTTTTGCGCGTGTTCTCCAGCTCTCCGAACTCGGCTCGTCTGTCGCGGATGTTCTGAACGCAGCGCTGCAGAGTCTCGTGGTCACCTGACTCGATGATGTCATGCCCGGGTTTGAGCTGGTCCCAGCGAGCTCTGAACTTCTGCAGGTCCTGCAGGTAAACCTGCACCCGAGACTCAACGTTCCCCTTCATCACCTCCACCTGAGAGACACTCATTTTAGCAGGTCATTTTCAATGAATCTCACTGAATCTGTTGCATTTAGACTTACTGAAATGCACAGATGTAGTCGAATTACTGACTGCTTGTTCATGACTGTTATTTTAGTATCATTGATATACTATCATGTTTTTTCATATTTTGAAATTCATATTTTATAGTTTAAAAAAAGAAAAAAAAAAGACAAATATATTGCAACATTCTACTGGTTATTGTGGAAAATTAATTTTTATATTTTCCATTTTTATTTTCATTTTAAAGTTTTAGTAGTTTTATTGTGTTTTGTCATTTTCTTAGTTTTTTTAAATGTCTTTTTCATTTTTATTAATTTGCATTTCAGTTTTAATTTTAGTAATTTGAGTACTTTAAATCAAAATTTGAAATTTTGAAACATATGTTATTGTATTAAACTATTGTATTAAATTAAAAAGGCAAAAATTCAGCTGGTTATTGTGGAAAATCAGAATATTGTACGAAACAGTGGTGTGTATGTATTAGGGTGTGTTTGTACCTGTTCTTTAATCATGAGCTGATGAGTCTCCATCATGAGCTCAAATTTGTCCCATCTGGCTCTCAGGGAGCTGATGGTGACCAGTCCTCCGCCCGCCACAGAGCGCAGCAGCCTGTTCTTCTCCTCCGCCTGCTGGAACTGAGGCAGTATCTGCACACCACATCAGAACAACATTCACAAATCAACTTTAGCAGAATCAAATTCTCTTTACACGCTGCCGTGCCACATTTACATTCACAGATGTGAACCAAAAGTTTAGTTTCAGACACTTAATAGCAAATAAACAAGAAATGAGTTGAAATTCTGAATTTCAAATGTACCTGCCCGTAAAAGTCACATAGAAAGCAAACTGTGGTTGGCCGTTTTACGTCGGTCAGATGATGTAAGTGGGCAGTTTTTAGCTAGAATAAGCTACAGCATGGCTCATATTCAAGTCTGGCTACATGATACATGTTTACATGAAGGAGAAGATTTCCCATTCAACAGTGAGATGAATGAGGGTGTTGATGGTGATGTACCTCGGGTTTCTGGGTCTGTAATTGGCCGTGTTTGGCATTGGCCTCTCCGATCTCATCGATGCTCTCAGGACGCAAGGACAACGTCTCCATCGCACTGCTTATGAAAGAGTCGATCACCTGAATGTGACCTGCACACACACACACACAGGACGGCAGTACTAAATATGTAAACACACAGTGCAAATATGACCAGTAGAGGTCGATGTTACACCATCTGATTTACTGAACACTGCTGCAAAGATCTGTCTGTCATAGTATGTGCCTGTTAGGATCTGTGGTATTACGGTACTATTTATATACTATCATAGCATTTATTCATATTTGGAATTATTTTTATTATGAACTTTTACCATTTTGAGTAGTTTTTTAATATATATTTCTATTTAGCTTTATTTTTATTGGTTTTGGTGATTTTGTAATGTGCTTTTTGCCATTTTTTATTATTTTTTAAATATTTCTATTTATCTTTATTTTTATTTGTTTTAGTATTTTTTCTTGTTATGTGCTTTTGTCTTTTTTTATATATTTCCATTTAGCTTTATTTTTTATTTGTTTTCGCTTTTGTAATTTCTATAATGTGTGTTGTCATTTTTATTAGATTTTTTCTTAATATTTCTATTTAGCTTTATTTTTTATTTTTTTGTAATTTTGTTAGAACTACAAATTAAACTGATGAACCCTTTTCACATTTTCCTGTAATTTAATCCCAAGGTAATAAAACATAAAATGAATAAAAGTATAGTTTTATAAAAGTACATTACATTTTTTTAAAATGTAAAATTCTTACACTACTGGGGAAATATGTCATCACTATCTGTGAAAAGGTTCCATTTTATTTCAGTTTTTCAACTAATATTTATATCTAACATTATTTCAATCACTACAATAGTTTTAGTTTTAGTTAACAATAACCAGAGTAGTTTGGATGC